GACCACTTAGGGTAAGTGTTGGGCCCATAGAGCCCATTTGATGGGTTTCAGGGGGTGCACTGTCCATAACAGTGTATTCGGCCAGGCCTTGTAACAAAGGCTGGGCCAAACCATGTGGCTGATGTGTAGATCAATGCTTGGGTCCCACGCCATACAAGAAAGTCCAACTGGGCAGCAATTAGGAAGGTTAAGTGAGCACATAAGCTTAATGGGCCTAAAGCGCATTTCGAACTGGGCTATTTAATTAGTTAAATATGGGGCGAATTCTGAGATGGATTAGCAAATAGGATAGGGTCTTAACCCTATCCACTCAGAGAGTCTTAGGAGAAGGTTAATCTAATCTGCAGATAAGATAAGGGTTTATCCTTATCACCTAAAGGGATGCCTGATCCAAATAAGATTTGGATCAGCAACTCCTAATTGGATTAGGAGCTGATCCTTTGGAGTTAAAACAAATAAGGAGGGGGCGGCAGCTTTTAGAAGATATACTCACATCCTCTTGAGTGCTGAAAACACAGAAGAAAGAATTAAGCAACCCTACAGAATTCTTTCTTGCCACCTCCTTGTTCTTGCCGCACAGTTTGTCAGTTCGATCTCCAGTTGTGGGAGAAGTCAAGATTTGATCTTGACATCAGTTCTTTGAGAAAGAATTGATAGGAAGCTGTGCTCACGTGCCATCCAGCTATTTCTTGCGAATGACAGAATTCTTGGAGAAGAATACTACTGATTCTACTCCATCCTGCACTGCGCCATCTTCAGTGGGAGTAGTCTTTGGATCCTTCCTTGGGCATGAACACCTTCGTTGGGAGATATTACTTCTCCGTATCAGGTATAATCTTCCCTTACTACTTTTGGTTCAAATCTGGTTCAGTTTATGGTTCAAGATTGATCATTGAAAATATGATTTTCTAAATAGGGAATGCGATTCCCAGTTGAAAGGGAGAGAAAATTTTTTGAAATTCGCCCCTTTATTCCGCAAGATTTGGGCGTCCATACGATGGATCCCTCATCCCTTCATAGAGGTACTACTAGGACCATTCGAGTCAGGAAGGGAAGGCCTCAAGACCAGAATTGGAAGTCCACATCACGAAAGATGAGGCCTTACCAAGAAAAGGTTTTTCGAAGAATGGAATAGGAAACAGTTTGGTAGAAGCTGAGGTGGTCTGAGGAACTCCAGAAAAACACACTACGAGCAAATAAAGAAGTCTCCCCAGTCTCCTCTCCATTTTTAAAGGAAAATGGACGGTTGAGATTCGCTCCATTTGACGGCTATAATCAAATTGCCTCAACCATCCACGTTGATGGCCTCCATGTGGCATTGACCTCGAAAGACGGAATGACATTGAGGCCCGAAGTTGGCTCGCCCATCATCCCCATTTAAAGATATCTCGAACTGGCCCGACCATTCGGCTACTTATCCCGAGCACGACTCCTTGACCTTTGAAGCCAGTGCTTGTCCCAGACATGGTTGTTGAACAATAGAAGCAAGCACCCATATGAACCGCTGTGACTCGGCCATGATCACACTGATCTGTCTCACTCACGGATGACGAACAACATATAAGCACGACAAAGCCGAGGCCTCAACACAAATCACCCAACGACCTCGGCTTCAACCTTGAGAGTGGGGGGCAAGTGATGTAGGTACAATTGGTCGGCTCACCAGACCCTAACATGTGGCATTGGCCAGGGGTATTTCCGATAGTTGACAATCTCCCAAGGGAAATAGGGTAACCCCCACCCTTAACGGTTGCAGAGCCTTTAGTGTGGGTGCATGATCCTGGCGCATTTACTCCTGAGTTGCTAATTAAGGGGTCGTGGTCAGCTGATGCCTCTCTGAGTCCCCCTACGTAACCGTAATCTACGGGATGGTTACTTGTCGTT